AAACAGTTATACATATGTTCCCATAGCTCTTGCGTCTCCCTCCCTCCCACCCTCCCTATCCCACCCCTCTAGGTGATCACAGTGTACCGAGCTGATCTCCCTGTGCTATGCGGCTGCTTCCCACTAGCTATCTATTTTACGTTTGGTAGTGTATATATGTCCATGCCACTCTCTCACTTTGTCACTGCAGGTGTTTTTTAAATGTCCACCATGTAGTGCTATCCAAAGCAATGGAGATAATATGTGAAAAGAGCAACAAAGTCCCTACCCTCCTAGAACTTACATTCTTGTGAGGGAGGAGGAATAAACACATAAAATAATTTTAGACAGTCATTAGAAGACGAAAATAAAAGTGTGTTATAGAGAATGCTTGGGCATGGGGAAATCCTTTAGCGGGTGAGAGATGTCAAGAAAAGTCTCTTTAAGAAGATGACATTTGAGCTTAGATCAAATGATAAGGAGTTATATTAGTTTTCTACTGCTGCCCTAACAAATTACTACAGTGCCTTAAAACCACAAATTTGTTATCTTATAGATTTTGTGCTCAGAAGTCCAAAGTGGGACTTACTGGGTTAAAAGCTAGGTGTTGGTATAGCTGCATTCCTTCTAGAGGCTCTAGAGGAGAATCAGTTTCCTGGACTTTTCCGAACTTTAGGGGCTACCCACGTTCCTTAACTCGTATTCCCTTATCTTCATCTTCAAAAGTAGCAACATCTCACATTGGATCTCACTGACTCTTCTGCCCCGCTCTCTGCCTGCCCCTTCTACTTAGAAGGACACTTGTGATTACATTGGGCCTACCTGGATAATCCAGGATTATCCCCCCACCTCAAAGTCAGCTGTTTAGCAACCTTAGTTCCATTTTATTGCTCCATGCTGTGAAACCTAACATACTCTGTTTCTGGGAATTAGGATGTGAACATATTGGAGGTGAGAGGTGGGGGCAGGGGCGACCATGGGGAGATATGGGGGAAAATATTCCAAAGAGGGAATAGCGAGAGTAAAGGCCTCCATGTACTAAGCAAGCCTTGTCCTCTGGGAGTGTTTCCAGTCTCTCACTTTCTATATCTCTGATGCAAATACACTGGATCGGAAGCCAGGCAGTGAGTTAACCTTAAGATTTGCTGTTTAACTGTTTTGAGCTCACTATCTGGTATATGGACATCTCCAGTGTCCTGTATGTTTCACAGGATCTCCAGCCACGGAATATCTACCTACTGCCTATCACAAATGCCTAACATATTACCTTTAGGGATTCCTTTAAACTCTTATTAATCAAGAATCTTCTAGTAAAATGGAAAAATAATATGATAGATGATCATTGCTAAACTTAGTCCTCAATGTCTAACCAAAGGTCAGTGGAGATGGCCTAGGATGGATATTGGCATTGCAGCTGGAGCACAGTGATGCTGAGGCACCAGGAGTGGAGTGATATCACCTACTGGGTGTCTGAGGTCACCCCTGCCTGCCTTCCCCAACATCATTCAGCTTGCATTGTCTGGCTGGCCACAGCTGTTACGCAGTATGGTACTCGGTTCAAGAGTGGCCCCTTTCCATTATTTATTTTCAAAAACGATTAATTTCCATTTCAAAAATATCCTCCCATTCACTTAAGGTAAGGAGCATTTCTCCTTTGGCATTCTCCCCCTGCCTACGTTAGCGGAGGAGGGCTGTAGCCTTGACAGCAGCCTGACTCACTAACGGCACCGATGAGATGCCTCATCTCCACCTCCACTGCCCCTTGGGGACAGTGTGTGTGGGAGGTCTTCACGACTCACTAAAAGTCTCTCAGAACACAGATCCTTCCCTGTCATCATTTTCATCATTTATGTTCTCTCAGCGCTCAGCAAAGAGAAGTAGCTCTCTTTGTTCCCCCTCCCTGCATTTGCTCCTAGAGTGATAGAAAACAACCAATATTATGTTTGTCTGTGGACTTTATCAGGACAGGGATGTTTGGTAGAACAGGAAATGAAGTATTTCGCTGTTTCATGGTAGAGAGCCCATCTTCAGTATGCAGGGCTGAATGGGTGCCTGGAGAAATGTGAAAACCCTGTACATGGCTCTGATATTTCTGTGTGCAGACAGGTAATGGTTTCAACAGAGAGTCTGTGCTCCAGTGAGAGCCTCTTTCTTGAGCTTTGGGAGCCTCCCTCCAGGACGCATTCTGAGGGCTGCATGCCGTTCCTGGATGGCTGCTCCCCTGGCCTGAGCCCTGGGTGCTCTCCCAACCCCCCACCCCAGCACACAGCGATGCAATCAGCAATCAGCACAAGGTGCCTCCGTGGCACATTTCATTATGTCACTCACAGTTGCATTTCATCAGAATGGAAGGGAGTGAGAGTCAAGGAAGTGCCTAGCCGAGCCATATTGGAGCCCGAGGCAAAAGAAAAAAATCAACAATACTGATGTTGGCTCATTAAAAATTTGATATCTTGTTCATCATGGATTTTTTCGCATTAATTTTGAATTTAAAGTGTTACATTAGAATATTATCTTGATTACTAAGCATTTTGGTGTCCCCTTATTTTGCTCCCAAGGTGAATGCCTCACATGCCTCACCGGAGCCCCAGCTTTGAGATGTAGGGTACATAACTGATGATTTTGATGACAAAGTGGTATGTAGGAACTGGGTTTGTGCACTTGGATTTTCCTGACGCTCCTAGGAGCCAGGTACTGAGGTGAAGCTGGTGGAGCGTGGCACCTCTGCATGGGATTTGAGGAGCCTTATGAAAGTCTCCCTTTGACCACTACAAAAAAGTCCCCACCTTGCCTGAAGTTCAATCTTTATCATTTAATTTATATGAGTTAAACATTCCCCCAAAGAGGCTAAGTTGGAAAATGTAAACCCTGATGGCAGCAAAGTGATAGAAAGTTCCTAAAACTGCACTTACACGTGAATGTGTTTATTCCGGCATTTTCTTAGAGGCAGGACAGAATGGGAGGTGTGATGACACTGATTTGTTGGAGTTGTTGGCATGGTCATGTTGAAGGTGTTAGGTGTGGGGACTTAAGAAAGGGGTACAGAAAGAAAATAGAGGTTTTCAATGAGAAACTTCTTTCCCTTCACAATTTTCCAAAGGCTGCAGACAGATCACACTTCTCCCAGGAGTCATTCCTGCCGTTTCCTGGGGATACTCAGCCAACCACCCTCTGCCACTGCCTCTCCTCCAGCACCCTACTGGTCCATCGTCTAATCTTGACATCTTTTGTTTCTTTTCTTGTATTTAAAGAGATTAGAAGTCTAAAGTGGATGAACACTTAGTCACCATCTTGTTGAAGACCCTCTTCCAAACGTGGTATCTGAGACTCAGTGGAAATGTAATTCTCTGTCCAGGGTCACACAAGGCAGCACCAGTGGAACCAGAAGTCTGGGCTCTGGACTTGCCACATGTTTCTTCAGTCATTCATCACAGAATTACTGAACACCTAGACTAGATGCTGGAGATGTAATGGTGAGCAAAACCAGTCATGGTCCCCACTTTCCTGGGATTTACAGTCTACTGGGGGATGTGTACATAAATAATCACAAATAGATATATCATTACAAATAGTTAAGTTTTCTACCGGTATCAGTGTTATACCATTTTGATGGAAATGTAGAAACCATGCTACATTTGGGCATCTTTGCCCTTCTCTCTCTTTAAATATTGGATTGGCCAAAAAGTTCATTCGGGTTTTTCTGTAATGTGAAATGCCTGAACGAACTTTTTGGCCAACCCTAAATATAGTTTTTGGTGTTTCCCCTATATGCGTTGCACACCATGTCAGATGGTGTAATAATTTTTGCTTCAACCATCAATTTTGCCCATTCTGATGTTTTTTTTCCTGAAGTTCCAGACTTTCTTCTTTTGTTTCCTTCTCTGATTAGAGAACTTCCTTAAGCCATTTTTAAAAAATTATTTCTTATTGGAGTATAGTTGCCTTACAATGTTGTGTTGGTTTCTGCTGTACAACCAAGTGAAGCAGCTATATGTATACATATACCTTGAGCCATTTTTAAGAGTAGATTTACTGGCACAGATTTCTTAGTTTTCCTTCATTTGAGAATGTTTTTATTTCCCCTTTCATTTCTGAAGGATATTATCTCCAGATATGCAATTCACAGTTGACAGTTTTTTCTCTCAATTAAAAAAAATAGTTAAGTTTTCTGATGTAAAGAAACAGTTTTATAAGCCTGTATAACACAGGAGATGGGATCAGTGTTGGAGGTCAGAAATTGCTGCCTGGGGCACAGAACTAGCTTATACCCAGGGACTTGTCTTCTCCACAGTCATGTTGACTGCAAGGTTTACTGTTCTTCTCAAGCAACTGGACTTCTATGGGACTTTGAGCACCAAGTAGGAAGAGAAGGGAAAGTGGATGTGACAAATCCATTCTTTAAGTTGTGAATATCGCTCAGAGAGCCACTTCAGTCCTAATTTGAAGCCTTTTTACTCTTGCTCTGCAAACGATTTTGATAAACATTCTTATACTGTGCTTCTAAAAAGGGTAACTTTGAAGAAGCAAAGTAAACAGCAGGTTAAATTGAACATGCTCATTAAAGAACATTAAAGTTATTTTAAGAAGATTCTAACTTAAGTGTGCAGGGGAAATGTGTGGTGTATTTTTGGAAGATTTGGCTAAGTTTTGTTTTTTTTTTTTAAATCAAGAGTTTGGTTGCCATTTAGTAAACATTGTCAGGGCTTCTCTGGTGGTCCAATGGTTAAGACTCTGTGCTTCCACTGCAGGGGGCACGGGTTCGATCCCTGGTTGGGGAACAAAGATCCCACATGCCGTGAGGTGCGGCCAAAATAAATAAATAAATAAATAAACAAAAATAAATAAATAAACAAAAGCTTATTTAAAAAGCATTGTCAGATATGTTATCACTAAAAGATCTCACAATCAAAAAACTTATAAGGACAAAACATGTCTGTGAAAACTAAGTTAGTCTGAATCCATGATGGATGTAATACCCCTTGGCAAGGTTGGCTGACAGGGTCCTGATTTGCTACCAGATAAGCCAATGAGACATGAGTTACATTTATTGAACACGGAATCAAATATTAAAAAGATGCACACTAGATAACTACAATGATTTTATTCTGCATTGAGCTTTAGTTTATTTCAAGGAAAAGAGTGTTTTCAATATCAAGAAGCATGTGTATATATGTGTCTTCCATGCTATTTTTTCTGCAAGTTGCTTTCACTGCAAATTAGAGAAGTAGAGTTCAGCTGCTAACATGTATCTACTATAGTTGCCTTCAAGTTATATGGGGAAACTGAGGCTCAGAGAGGGTCTGGCCCATGGTGACATAGTTAGCAGAGGACAAACACAATATTTGAACCCAACTCTATGCTCTGAATCCAGATGTACATAACATTGTAAGGAATACTTCCAAAGGGTAGAGTCTTGCCTTTCAAACTCAAAAACTAGAAGATCACAATTATAACTTCAGGGAACAGCGTTTTAAGTGAAGAGGTTCTATATTTCCTGGCAGATGATCTTAGTGTCACCAGGAGACACTGGAAAAATAAAAATAAACCCAAGTTAGAGGGATTTCAGTTATTGAGACTCTCTGTTCTATATCCAGCCACTACAGATTTTTTTATGATACATGCCCAGGGAGGGTTAGAGTGTGACCCGCACCCCTGCAATAATACCCAGCCACCAGCCATGCCATTCAAAGTACTAGGGCGGTCACCTTCCTGGAGTCATTTCACTCTTTAGGCCTGCAGGTCCCTGTGGTGGTGGCCAAAGGCTTTGGAGCCCACGTTGGTGGGCATGTAGTTCCTCTTAATCATGCTCCCAGATCTGCTCAGCCAGCCCGCCATCTTATGGGTCACGCAAGTGGCAGTGTTGCACGAACTCTTCTGGGCAGTGATGCTGATTTGTAGGATGGAGAAAATGAGAAGGCCTGTCAGTGAGAGGTTGAGGGCAGATGCTGCCCTATGGGATCATCAGTGGAAAATTACTACTCTGAGAGGCACCAGTGAACCTTAAATGTTTCTGCTAAATACAATCATCACAGCAGAAAATCAAAGGGTTTTAGGGAAAATGCCACAATCACTCCCTGTAGACATTTTCAGGGGTGTCAGAAGACCAAAGATGTCTCCGGGTTAATGTTCTTGGAACACAGAACTGTAACAGCCAATCTTTCATGTGTAAATTAAACACCAACCAAGGCTTATGAGATGAGAGAGAGATTTATGGCACTATACCCAATCTCATTCTTAAGTATACCCCTTCCTGGTAAGCTGGGGGAAGGGTAAGCCATGTTCTGGGAGGGGTGCAGAGATTTACCTGAAGCTCTCTTCCTCATGCTCCAGCTCACTGGCCTTCATCTGCACATAATACTTCACCATTGCAGCCAGTAGGAGGCGCGATTCCTCCTCAGTGAGTGTAGCAGGTACAAAGCCACTTTCCAAGGCCGACCTAGGGAAGGGAAGGAAGCCCAACTCATGCTCTGAGCCCCTGCCTACCCGCACACCGCAGGATAAGCAGCCAGCTTTCTTGGTTTCTGGGGCTTCCACTGAGGATGTGGCCAATCCAATTCTCTCTCTCTTTTTAATTTCTTTTTTTAAGGTTTTAAAAATAACATTTATTTCTTAAAGGTTAACATGTGCAGGGCTTCCCTGGTGGCGCAGAGGTTGAGAGTCCGCCTGCCGATGCAGGGGACACGGGTTCGTGCCCTGGTCCGGGAAGATCCCACGTGCCGCGGAGCGGCTAGGCCCGTGAGCCATGGCCGCTGAGCCTGCGCATCCGGAGCCTGTGCTCGGCAACGGGAGAGGCCACAACAGTGAGAAAAAGTTAAAATGTGCATAATAAGAAACCAAAAAACACAAGAAACAAAAAACAAAGTCATCCATCATCACAAGCAGTATACTGATGTGTCCTTCTAGATCTCATTTGTGTATTTACACAATTAAGCATCCATTTTTATGTAATTAAGATCATACAGTTATGTATCATGCTTGTTCACACATCATTTCAAAGTCCCAAAGCTATGAGTATTTTGATAACCAAGAATACACTACACCAACTCAATCTGGAAGGAGAAAAATGTAATCCTGCCTTTCTTGGTGACAAAAATTTCAGAAAAGACAAAAATGGCAACAGGCCTCTAGACAAAGATATTGGCAAAGTTATGATTAAAATACTACATTCCCTTAATGTTCAATTAAAAATGAGACATAAAGCAACAGAGTACACAAAGTATAATGCTTTTAAGAGGATTCATTATCCAATCTAAACTATTAAAGTGTTAGCAAGGAGGTATGTTTCCATTGAATTACTTAACAATATATTCCTATAGTACAGCCAAGAGATGCACACACATCAATGGTTATCATCAAAATATAAATATGAACATGTCCACATACATCCCTCCCTTTAAACTTCCTTCTGCCCCTCTGCTGCCAACCTAATGAACACGTCCTGACATACATTTCTCAGAGACGGTTTAACAATTCCATGTCCAAGATGCTGCTTTTTCATGAATTATAACAAACATATTTACAAGTTGGTTAATTCACTAGCTCTACTTTTTACCATATATTGTCACTTCAGGACATCTAAAAAAGCCTAGATGTTGCAAAATAATGAATGAACCTTGTCTATAATAAACATTGGTACTTTACAAAAATGCACATATAGACCTATGGTTATAACCTAAAATTGTTTTCTATACGGAGATATTAGCCAAGAGCCCTTTCCCTTCACCCTTCCTCTTACCCCTTCTCCAGCATTTCAATGACTAAGTACAAGACTACATCTAGCTCCAAGATGTGGATTAACATAGACACTCCCAGAAGATACAGCCCTTCCTAAAAACCAACAAAAGGGCATTTATTAAGGGATTATTTTACTACTCTATTTTTAATATACTTTGGGCATTAGGACTTTCTTATTCTTTAATACACAGCAATATTAACTAAAACACACAAATAGAACAAGGGTTAGACAATCTGAACTTGTCTAAAGACTCATGGGCACAGATCCCTTCTCTGCACTTCCTTCCCTGTCCCCTCTTCCCTCCCCGACTACCCAATGAACAGTCAGCCTACTCTCCAAGACTCAAGTTTAACAATTCCACTCCCCAAATATAACCATTCCTATGAATTAACAGAAAAAAATATGTAAAATGTGTTACTTTAACTCTCTACTTTCAACATATGTTGTGCACTTTTACACATCTAGAAAGACTAGATGATTCAAATAAGGATTTCAGTTTGTCCACTATCTATACACATAGTAGCAATGAATAAACTGCACACAAAGGCTTTAATCTCAAAGTGTCTTCTAAACAGGAAAACTCTGGCCTAGAACCCTTCCCCTTTTCATCTCTATCAACCCAGCCCAGTTCTCAATGGACAGGGCATGAGGCATGTATCCATCCAAAAATGCCACTTCACCAGGATTTAGGTTCTGGTGTGACCTAAAAGAAGTAGTTTGCTCCAAGTGGATTATATAGACTTGTGAAAGGTGATGGTTAGATTTTCAAGAATTTTATGAGCTTAGTGTAAATACAGCCATTATTAAAAATTAAATGATAATGATTTGAATCTGAAAATGATTTCAGTTTAATATAATCTGAATAAAGGTGAGAAATTAGATGAAAACATCACATAGATATAATAACAAACTTATTGGGAAAGTAATTAGCAGATTAGGATGCAATTCATTGATCAAATTATGGTAAAAGTAGTAAATAGGTTTGCTAAAGATAGAAATGTTTGGTAACAATCAACAAAAGCATGCTGTGAGGTTCAATGAGTTACAGTATATGAAATTTACAAGGAGTATCCTGTATCTTATGTGTGTTTGTAAACTGTGTGATACACATCTTTGTATCACAAAAAATTTATGATAAACTTATATACATGTTTACATTCATACATTACCCGCCCCCCCATAAGAGCCAGATTCAGCACAGCACAACTTAGAACACAGAATTATAAGATTGGGAGTTGGGAGTGCTCCTGGCAGGGCTGTCTCACCTGAATGGCGCTGAGTGCAGCACACCTGCCTGGTACAAGACCAGGATGCTGAGGACCAGGAAGGGGGGGAACTTCCAGAAGACCATGACGACTCTCTGCAAGGGAAGAATAACATCAGCACCTGGAGAATAACAATTTCCATGAGCCCACAGACCCAGGCTCTGCTCCTGCCTCTGCCCCTAACTCCCTTGCCTTCTGGTTTCATGCTAGTCATGTCACTCCAATTCACCATCATTTCCTGCTCAGCAAAATGGACTGCTGGAAAATCCAGTAAGGCTGCGGCATGCTTGGTTTAGCAAAGAAACCTAGTGGGACAACTGGGTGAGGAGGTCTTAGTCTATAGCGCCCGCCCCATCACTCCACTCACTCTCACATACAACCTGTTGGCCAGGTCTCCTGGAGGACAGAGTCCGAGTACCTGTCACCACAGCTTTTCCCACTGTGCAACCCAGAGCTGTCCTCCTGGTGCCGGGCTTTTGCACATACATGGAGGGGGGAGGGGATTACCGAGGACAAATTTCTGCCGTTGGAATCCCTGAGAAACTGAAGAACCACATTCTACTGCTCAGCTGCTCCACACTTTGGTAGAGAGTGCCCTGTAAGAATCAAGCTGGAAGGGTCTCAAATTGGAACCCAGGACTTAAACTGGGAAAAAAGTTCCCAGAACCCGCAACGGGGGCTTGCGTTTAAAGGCTGCCTGCCCCTCAGTCACTGCACCTATTTGCCTCCCGCTTGCGCTGGCCCAGGTTCTGAAGCATTTCCCGCGGTCCGCTAGGCACAAGACGTGATCCGTGAGAGCACCATCTGCACAAAACTATTCCTGCGTCCAGATCTGCTTGCAGTGCCAGGGGAGCTCCAGCATCCCAAACTGACCTAAGCACGTGTGCTTCGGGAAAGGAAACTGGAGCCCGCCTCAGCGCGGGGAGAGTGAAGCAGGGAGTGCGTGAACTGAGACCATCCAGTGTTACCTGTGGAAGACGCCTGGGATGCATTGCAGAGTAGTGCAGGTTGTGTGAAATGACCTAGACAGAAGTGGACAGAGCCTTTGAGACTGGAAGAGATCAGCTAAGAAAAAGTAATGGAGAGAGAGAAGGAAGAGAGGGGAGAGAGAGAAAAGCAGAATCCCAGCTAAGCAGGAATCTCCGGGCTTACCTGGCAGCAGGAACCAGGTGGCTTGGAGCAGAGGAGGGAGCAGTGGCAGTAGCTTTGGCTTCAGGCGATGGCACGGTGGCAGAAGTGGCAGTGACACTCGAGCTGGGCAGTGCGTCTGATGCCTCCCAACACCAGCAGCTGCTCTTATTCCCGCTGCTCTGGGTCTGGGGTGGTCCAGGAGCTCTGGGCAGCCAATGAGGGGAAGGATCTGAGCCCCAGAAGGATTGTGTCATCACTTGGCGTCCAGAAGCTGGAGCATCCAGAAGGACCACCCCACTTGCATTTGCATTGAGGTCATTGATGGCGGGGGCGGGAGAGGGACGTGGGGGGGTTGGTGAGGACGAAAAACACAGGAAAAGTGAGTAGGAATTTGAGGACAGTTTAACGTCATGGTTAACTTCACCTGTTCGGTTTCGCGGGTTTTGAACACGCACGTGTCCCACTCCATCCCCAGCTGTGCGATCTTGTCGGGCAGAGTCCAGCATTACAAGGAACGCTGTCTTCCCTAGGTCTGACCGCAGACCTCCGTGCAAGTGCAGCTTTGAGGGTTAATGCATAGTAGAGTTGATGATTCTGTGCCCAAGCAGGGGGTCTGATTCAGGCAGCTGGGATCACGCACAGGAGGGCAGGGCTTGTGGGTATCAGACACAGAGGATCAAGAACTTTGTCACACTGGAACTCTGCTGCAGTTGTGCCTTTTCCAGGTGGAAACATCGTGGGCTAGTAACTTCTAGTGCCTCAGTATACTAATCTATGAAATGGGGATCATATTCTCATCTTGAAGGAATGTTATCATTACTAAGTATGTACCTGTTATCTGCCCAGGTAGGGATCTAGAAGTGCTTACCAGGGAAGTTCATAGGGGATTCTGTGGGATCGCAATCCATCTTCCCAATCAGCACCCTGTGCAGCTGCCTGGAGTCATGCTGGTTGGTCCATCATGAGGGTAAAGGAGGGGCTGGATGCCCTGCTGGGCCTGAGCACGCAAGTGCAAGGCTAAAAGCTTCCAAGCGGACCTCTAGCCCCACACCTCCTCCCCCACCATTCATCACCTAAAGTTCAGCCTCCTCGAACCATTTGCCCAGCTGCCCCTTGCTTCCGGCTGCTGTTTGCCAAGACGTTCTAGTGATCTGTGATTCCAGCCCTGCACCCATGTCTACCGCAGTTCAGTCCTCTGCTAGAAAGCCTGCCAAGCTTGATGGTGCTGAAGAGTCCAGCGGAGTGCAATCCTCGCTCTCACTTCAGTCATACACTGCACACACACAAACTCAGTATTTCCTCCAAACATGTGCCCAGTCCCAAACCACAGGCACTCACAAAATGACACTGGCGCTCAGCGGCATCCAGGTGATGCGCTCAGTCCCGCCCTAAGTATGCGCAGAGCGGCATGATTAGGACCTGCATCCTCGAAACCTGTACCGACTCTCAGTAAGTGTGCTCTGTAAAGCCCAATTACCCAGCAACTTCGAGTCTCCTACACCCTGCCCAGCACGTTTCTGGATCTCTCTGTCAGAGCTCCTGCTCTAAGCCTTCCAGGAAGGTCTGAGGTGCTGACTTGCCATCCTCAGCAGATAGAATGCAGAAAACCAAGCTTCTCACTGTCCGCAGTATCGCTGGGTCTGAGCACATAGCGCAAGATCCAAGCAGCCTGTACAGACCCTCCAGCGCGGCAAGCACTGCGGCGGCATCGCGGGGCGGTGGAATAAAACACGGATCCCAGGTAGCTGGTTTTCTCAGGCGGAGCCGAAACTAGCCGAAACGAGCCACGTGGTGACCCGAGCCACTGGTCCACGCCCCAGACCTCAGTGTCAAGAAGCTTCAGTGTTTTGTTCGACACGGCAGCTGCCTCGCGGCACATCTCTTCCCCTTGCAGGTTGGTGGTCTCCGGGCTCAGGACACCTAACTTCCAAGATGCCCTTATTCCAATTTTCTGCTTCTTAACCGCAGCGGTGGCACTGATGCAAGCGAATAAAACCTTGGGGCAGGGGAACTGGATATCTGAAACTGGCTCTCCTCAGGCAGGGCTGTGGGGGATCCGGGGAATGGAATAACCGGTTGGAAGCGCGCAAGTGCGCTTGGGCGCGGAGCCGGGAAAGGCAAGATGTGCAAGGGAAGGATTCAGGATGGCGGATCGCGGGTTCAGTGCATCCTGGAGTCTCGAGGCAGAGATCGGGGGCTGAGATCCAGACCGGTGTTAGGGAACTCAGTAGCAAGAATAAATTGGCGAACGCGGCAAAGCAGATACTGTGCGGCATGTAAATTGGGCTCTGCCACTTAAGACTGTTGTAGGCGAGGCATTAAAACTCAGGTGCAAGACACTTCTGCCGACAGGACTTCCAAGACCTGAGGTTTCTGACGTATCAATCTTCTGAAATCATTTGTAAGTACGTGTGTACATGGATTGCATTTTCCTTTTTTTAAAAAAAAAAACTTATTCATTTGGCGGCGCCGGGTCTTAGATGCGGCAGGGGAGATCTTCGTTGCCGCGAGCGCACCGTCACTGCGGTCTGCGGAATCTTTAGTTGTGGCCTGCAGGAGGTATGCGGGCTCTATTTCCCTTACCAGGGATCGAACCCCGGTCCCCTGCATTGGTAGCTCGGAGTCAAGCACTGGATCACCAGGGAAGTCCCGCCTTTTCCTGGGGAAGTCCTGCCTCTTCCTATTGAGAGAACCATGGCTTTCACCAGTGGAATGGTGATGACAAAATGGTTAAGAAACGACTATTTTAGAAGCCGAATTTGTAACCATGTCTCTTTGTGAGCTCAGAACTCCACCCCTGGCTGTCACGTGTGCCATCAACCTTCAAAGCCTACATTCATTCCCCTTCTGAAATCTTTGGTGGCTACGAAGGGCTAGCAGTGTGAAGCAGGACACAGGGTCTGTACCCAGAGGGTGCTAACGTAGCCTCCTGCAATTTCAGCTTTTCCTGAAAAGTCAGTTTCTCAAGATAGGGAAGGACTGTCATGAACTCATCCATCAAGTACTCTGAATTTCTAATGAGTCCTGGTGCTGAGCTGGGGGCAAGGTTTTAAAAAAAAATCTTTGGGGCTTCCCTGGTGGCGCAGAGGTTGAGAGTCCGCCTGCCGATGCAGGGGACACGGGTCGTGCCCCGGTCTGGAAGATCCCACATGCCACGGAGCGGCTGGGCCCGTGAGCCATGGCCGCTGAACCTGTGTGTCCGGAGCCTGTGCTCCGCAACGGGAGAGGCCACAACAGTGAGAGGCCCGCGTACCGCAAAAAAAAAAAAAAAAAACTTTAGCACTTAGCAGCATGTGTTGCATACCAGGTGGCACTCACCCAATGTTTATTAAATAAAGGAAATTAATTTACTGTGGAAGATTTACCAGCCAGTCTCACCGCTCTTATAGGACTCTAATCTAATCCCAACCAGCAGAGAATCCGGACCTAGCTAGGTAGTGCAGCTTTTCAATTGGATTTCAAAATTGTGAGCTCAAACATTTGAGACACTCCTCTCATTTCATCTGACGTGCAGAGTTGGTTTCCCCATGGAAGTTTCCAGCAACAAGACAGGGAAAGGAAGGTTAACCCTAGGGTTCTTTCGGAAGTCTAGAGCCTCCTAGTATGAAACACAAAACTATTCTCCTCTGAGCCCATCCCTGATTTACCAAGTGAACTCAAAGTTTAGACCTTACCATGTGCACATTGCTTATGTTGCATCCAGCCCTACCTGAGACTTCTTTTAACTGAAGCACTAAATGGAAATCGATCTTGAGAAAGTCAAGGAAAATACTGATTTAAAAATAGTTACCTGATTATTTGGCACTTGATTGTACAGTCTTATTTCATAACTTTTAAACCTGAAAACCAGGTTTAAAAGTTTAAAAGGTTTAAAAGGGGGAAACAATCTAGTTTGGAGAAAACATTTTTTACAACATTCTGATAAACTCTAACTGCAGTGTTTATTTCCATACTTTTAG